CGCTCCCTAGACCCAGTCTCGTGTGTGACTGTCCTCGCTCTTCGTCCTCGCTCCCTTGACCCAGTCTCGTGTGTGACCACCCTCGCTCCCTAGACCCAGTCTCGTGTGTGACCGTCCTCGCTCTTCGTCCTCGCTCCCTAGACCCAGTCCCGTGTGTGACCGTCCTCGCTCCCTAGACCCAGTCCCGTGTGTGACCGCCCTCGCTCCCTAGACCCAGTCTCGCGTGTGACCGTCCTCGCTCTTCGTCCTCGCTCCCTAGACCCAGTCTCGTGTGTGACCGTCCTCGCTCCTCGTCCCAGTCCCGTGTGTGACCGCCCTCGCTCCCTAGACCCAGTCTCATGTGTGACCGTCCTCTCTCCTCGTCCCAGTCCGTGTGTGACCGCCCTCGCTCCCTAGACCCAGTCTCGTGTGTGACCATCCTCGCTCTTCGTCCTCGCTCCCTAGACCCAGTCTCGTGTGTGACCGTCTTCGCTCCTCGTCCCAGTCCCGTGTGCGACCGCCCCTGCTCCTCGTCCCCGTCCCGTGTGTGACCGCCCTCGCTCCTTGTCCCCGTCCCGTGTGTGACCGCCCTCGTTCCTCGTCCCAGTCCCGTGCGTGACCGTCCCCTGCTCCCTCGTCCCAGTCCCGTGTGTGACCGCCCCGCTCCTCGTACCCAGTCCCGTATGTGACCGCCCCCCGCTTCCTCGTCTCCGTTCCGTGTGTGACCGCCGCGGGCGTATTTCGGTCGCGCGTCCCCTCCGTACGTTAGGCCGTGACGCATTGTCGACCACATTCCTTCGAGCGGTGACGGTTGCTGCCGCGCCAGCTGACGGCGGTGACACCAGCATACGTCGGCGGCCAGGCTGGCGCAGACAGCGGCCGCCACGGCGCTGCGTCGGCGCCAGCTGACGGCGGTGACACCATCATACGTCGGCGGCCAGGCTGGCGCAGACAGCGGCCGCCACGGCGCCGCGTCGGCGACTGCCGCACGCCGAACACGTCTGAGGCCTGGCCAAAAGCATGAAGAGGAATGGGCGGGGGCCTGCCACAGTTAATAGCTTGCACTTGGATGATTCCACTTGGAACTTATGGTATGGAAGATAAAGCTTCGTGGGAGAAGGTGTGTCGATGCGTCTGGGATTTGGAAAATGTGTTTGAATTAACGAGCTAGTGTCGCTACTGCTTCCTTCTGCATTTGATAGCCATTCTTTCGCAGACCGATTGTACGATGATTGTGATGCAAGCCGATTGTACGATGAAGTTGTTTTGTGTTGTGCCCGATTAACATTTATGGCGCGTTTGTGCCGCGCTATTGCGGTCCGCCCTTCCCGCTAGGACGAGAGGCTGATGACGTCATATAGCCTCAGCAGCTCAGTGCTTCACAAGTTCTAATGCCAAGTTCAGGCCTTATATCACGTTACTAGAACCATAAGGCTCACGTCATGAATATGCCCCAAATACATGACTAGGACTAAAACTATGGACTAGAGCGGTCGACCAAGAACGATACCAAAATCAAACTTAAACGAGAGACCTCCAACCTTCTTGGAACGGCATGAGTCAACAGAGCCACAAGTCGTTGTTTCATTTTATTAATACCATACACACGCATTCATACTTAGCCTGGAATCCTAAAAAGAAGATTTTGATCACACCGGTTCGTAATTCACTGTTATTATTGAAAAAATACGGTTTAACATGATGACTTGAACGGCGGCAAAGAACGCAGACGGCCATGGGCAGGATGTAGGCCCTGTCAACTCCTTTTCATCTGTTCATCTGACGTAACAAATAGGATTGTACAAATCCATTCGATTTTCAGAACTGCATGCCTGGGAATTCAAGGCTGTTGGCGAGCAAGGAGATCACAAGAGAAAAATCACGAGTTATTGATTATAATTTATCAAAGAAAACGCATTGCGTCAGGATAATTGCACCGCTGATTAACCAACTGAGCAGGCATGAACCAGTGCCAAGCACTGGAATAAGCACAAGCAAGCATAGATCGCAGCTCCGTCGATACCATAAAGCCATCGGAAAACTGAGCTGCAGCTCCATGCATGTCCTTTCCCGGCGATCTGTATCCTCCCAAACGTTTGAACTTAACAGCAGAAACTAGATAAATCCGACCTCTGATCACATTCAATCTGATCGCAGATCCACCTGATCAGCGATGCATAAAAAGTCACGGAAACTGAAACACTGATCTCCGAGTTTGAAAAGTAACGGAAACCATCTGGACCACGTCCAGGTAAACAACGCATAAAAGCTCAAATGCCTTTCTCCTTGCTCCTCACAGAATTGCGCAGCAAACTTGGGTCATAATTATGGCCAGGCATGCACGTGTGATGGCACCAGCGCAGTCGGGCCGCGAGAGCCGATGTCCCGTCCGAGCCGGCTGACCGAAGCATCCCTTGCAACCGCTTGGTTCGTGACGCCCAGCCAGGGCCGATCGGGGAGGCTGGCTGCCGTAGGCTAGAGACGTGGCGAGGCTGGCTGCCGTCGGCGAGAGACGCGGAGAGGTTGACTTCCGTCGAGGAGAGACGCGGAGAGGCTGGCTGCCGTCGGCGAGAGACCTAAGGAGGCTAGCCGCCGTCGGCGAGAGACGCGGAAAGGCTGGCTGCCGTCGGCGAGAGACGTGAGGAGGCTGGCTGCCGTCGGCGAGAGACCTAAGGAGGCTGGCCGCCGTCGGCGAGAGACGCGGAAAGGCTGGCTGCCGTCGGTGAGAGACGTGAGGAGGCTGGCTGCCGTCGGCGAGAGACGTAAGGAGGCTGGCTGCCGTCGGTGAGAGACGCGGAGAGGCTGGCTTCCGTCGAGGAGAGACATGAGGAGGCTGGCTGCCGTCGGCGAGAGACGCGGAGAGGCTGACTGCCGTCGGTGAGAGACGCGGAGAGGCTGGCTGCAGTCGGCGAGAGACGTGAGGAGGCTGGCTGCCGTCGGCGAGAGACGTGAGGAGGCTGGCTGTCGTCGGTGAGAGACGCGGAGAGGCTGGCTTCCGTCGAGGAGAGACGTGAGGAGGCTGGCTGCCGTCGGCGAGAGACGCGGAGAGGCTGGCTGCAGTTGGCGCCGGCCTCGCCGGATCACCGACCCCGCGTGGGCGTGCGGTTCGCGGCGGGTGTCACGCGGTCGTGACGGGGCCAGCCCGGATGTCGCCGGCCGCCAGGGCCCGCTCAGCACAGCAGCGAGGCCATCCGCCTGAGAGGCGCTGCCGTCACGACGCCGCTCACGGGCGACCGGTCGGAGCCGGGAGACCCTGCAGATGGGGGCGCGATGACAGGCTGACGCGCCGGGCGTCCGAATCGCGGCGATGACGGCATGAAACGGGCCATGGGCAGCGCAGTGGAAACAGAGCGCGCACAGCACGCGGTGCCGTCTAAGCCGAGCTCAACGGCCGCGTGATGGGTGAGTCACGCTACCTTGTGCAGCCAAAGGGCGTCATCGGCACGATATCGTAAAGTAACGTGAGATCCGGGGCACTCAGAGGGCAGGAGGCGTCCGAGTCATGCACTGGAAAAAACACTCAGAGGCGACATGGCGAGTGCGGCATCATGCCACAGTTCCAACAGCGCGGACAGTGAAGCGACAGCGTGGACACTGTCGCGAGCGCGGGGGCGCGTCCGGCACATCCGTCTGAGATGCACCGCCGCCGCTGGCGGGACGCCAGCTGCGGTTGTGCAGCTGGCGAATAACGGACCGCTTTGATCACGGGCTGGTGTAGGGTCTTGGCGAAATTATTCTCGCTAGCGATTTGCATGCCGGTTTCAGGCTTGCGCCCACTATCTGCGATGAACTCCGTCGCATCACATGTGATTTCAAGGTTTCAAATACTTTGTTGAAAAATGTGAAGTAATACATTTCCTCGTTGGCAACTGTATGCTGATCATGCTCGACAACTGATGTCATAAAATGTGCAAGTATGTCATTCAACATTTAAGGTGCGTTTCGCCGCTGACACAGGAGCGCAGGCCAATTCTTGAAGCATGCTCAATGTCTGGTCTATGCTTCGCAGTCAGCTTACAAATTTTATTTCTCTGGCCTAAAGAGAGATTAACATCCCGAGACCTTAACATTAATATAACAGTCGGAATAGATAGAATCGAGCAAAACGTCCGGAACGTGTGCCTGGAATCCTAGGCAGTTGGGAAGCTGCAGCTATCTTAGACGCACAAATCTTAAGCAACGGGCTTATTTTCATTCCGATCTTTGTCGTCTCACCGTGATCCCCAAAAACATACAGTCGCTAATGGAAGAGACGCACCACTTTGTACACGCGGAGACCGGACGCGATGATACCGCGGTAGGCAAGCTTCTGCGCAGCGCGAACATTTTTCCGGTGCGCTCGGCTGATGGGAACAATGCAAGGTTGTTCAAGACCTGCAATGTCTCATCTGGAAACCTTGGCTTGCAGTCGGTTAACATCTAGAATGTGTCATGTCATTTTGATTTACGACGCGCTCAGGTGCTGAGGCTATATAGCGCCGCCTGCTCCTCACCCTGACAGGAAGTGTGGGCCCTGTGGGAAATCGAACCTCACGCCGTTGCCATGGCAAACGCGCAACTAAACAACTACACTATCAATACCACCTGCGGACGTGTGTCTTGCTGCATATAGCACGTGTCTGTGTGCCAAATATATATGGAAAATCAGTAAGCACCTGCCCTCTGGCATTGTAAGACAAACGTGATGAACAACACCGAATATTTGTACCAGAAAACGATGGGGAAGATGTTTGAAATGACTACATGTAAAGAGTGGGCTCGATACTCTCTACAGACGAAGATCAGATCCAGTACTGCTCGTCATTGGAACTCCGCGCTAAAATGCCCAATGTTTAAACTTGCAAAAAGTTTTCGGCACCTGCCACATTTGGTAGCCACTTGTCTCTTATGGTGCCTTGCGCCACTTATATCAGCTTCTCATCAGGTCATCCGAACAATAGCGCCTGGGAAGTTCTGAATCTACTGCCCCCAGGTTGGTCCAGCCCGCTCTTGCTCGATCTGACCGGTCTTCCTGACGTTGCAGGAGAAGCAGCGGCCATGTCGTCCTACCGCCGTCCGAAGCACCACACCTATGACTACAACTATAAGGTGGGCGAGAGTAGCTACCGAGACATGCTCGACTACCTGGACCGCAAGGAGGGCCGGCGCGCAGTCAGTCCACCGCCGGGCAAGAAGACGTTCGCCGAGCGCTTCGCCGAGCGGCCGATCTACGGCGAACTGCGGCCGCTGCATCTGTCGCAGAGCGAGCCGGCGGAGCGCAGCGCCTATTCACCCCGGCCCGCCGCCGCCGACGAGCGACGCGCGCGCTTCGCCGACGCGCCCGTCGACGACGACTTCCTGGCGGTGCGGCCGCGGCCGGTGCTGGACGACGCGGCGATCGACCTCGACCCGGACGAGCTGATCGCGTCGATTCGGCGCAACCGGGCGCGCCTCGAACGCGCCGCGCCGGAGGACGGCGTGGCGGAGGCGGAGGAGGAGGCGGCGGCGGCCGGCCGACGGCGCCGCGCGCTGCTGCGGGCCGCCGAGGAGGAGCCGGAGGAGGCGGCCAGCCAGCGGCGGCGTGCGCTCCGCCTGGCCGCCGAGGAGCTGGACGGCGAGTGCAGCTCGGCGCGCGCGCTCGGCTCCAGCTCTTACTCGGCCTCGTCGGTTCGCAGCAGCGTCTCCCGTCAGAAGATATCCAGTTCTACAAGTCGCTCAACGCGCTATGAGTAGCGGCGAAGGGAGGAGGGAGAAGGCCCAGTGGAAGGGATGCGTCCCTCGGTTGGAGAGTAATGCAGTCTCTGGAGCCCATGGAGGTGAAAGAAGTCTTGGGATGACGGGCTTGGCGAACAGAGGAAGAACGCACCTGGGGTTAATTGTACACAATACCAAACCGAGCAGACAACTTTGTTTGACAGCATAGGAAAGCTGTGCACAATGCTCATCGCTATTGGCGCTGTCACAGCAGCAACTAGAATGACTGAGGGTCAAACTTAATGTGCTTTGTGAGACAGCAAAATGGGGAACACGACTGAAAGCATCGAAATGCTCAATGAAAAAATGAAACAATTTTGTACACAAACGCGGGTCTTAAACTATTACATTTCCAACCATGTTCAGTGAGGATGACATGAGAACATTTTCATGGCGGAAAGCCATTCTTGGCACGAAAGGCATTTCAATTTGCAACATAACATGACGTTTTTCCAAACCCGCGCGGCGCTAATCACGGTAGCAAATAGTGCCTAGTTTTCTCCTATCATCCAATGGTTAGCTGTTTGCATGACTGTATTTTGGAGCTGCCCACACATGATCCGTAAGTCTTTGTAGTGCAGGCGCGTGCTGCCGACTGCCTGCACCCATGAGACCAATGCAACGCCTCGCCGCCGCAGTGTAATGCCGGTGAATGTGATGGCATTGGATGAGCTCTGGGCACACGCCCTGGTTGTGAACTCGCGCATGCGTGGCATTGTGTTCATGTCCTTTTGTTCGTTGCCCCGTTACAAGTTGTAAGGCCAGTTAATGAAATGCGGTGGACCGTGCAAACTCCTGAGCGCGCAGCACTTGTGGCAGAAAGTCGCAGAACTCGTGAAATCGTTAATGCTGAATTCTTAGGACAATACATTTTTGTCTTCAGGTTTTGGCCGGCATGTTCAGATGATGCAAGTTACACGTTTTCCCAGAGGCAATAAGCTGCAGAGATCCAGCATCAGTCTGATCAGATTACTTATTCGAGAAAACCGTGCGCGCGAACTGCAGTTCTTTTACATGACTATTGGGTTCAGTGTGAACCCACCCAGTTCATTCCGGCATGTATCCCAGGTGGTTGTGGGATAGACATGCACTCTGAGGTTACAACCACCCACGCAGGTGAGCACAGGGCGCATCGGGGACTAGGCACCCCCATCTCGAACAAAACCACCGCGACCGCCTCACGGAAAGGCCGCACCACTATTCTGCGTGCCATGCCTCTGCGTGAGCCGCATGAACTGGCCGCGTGTCATCACCAGGCCCACCGTCCGAGAACCGTTTTACAAGGATTACGGAACAGTGTGAACATGAAAGTCCACCATGCTCCGACCTGTTGGTTATTTTCCTTGCTCCCTTGTTTGGGGGGGGGGGGGGGTTTTGTTGCATTTTGATGTGTTGTATGAGAAATGTGATATCGCGCGTCTTTCTGTGGTTTTGATTACCATCGGGCCAGTTTCCAAGGGCACCGGGGCCCAGGCCGGTGACTTGCGTGTGAGTCGCAGAGGAAGACGAGCAGTGCCGCAGGTGTCACGGATGTCACAGGTGTCCAGTGTCGCAGGCGTCGCGGACCAGACACAACTCCGAAACGAGCTTCTATAATGAGACATACGTGTTAACGTCCGCGAGCAGTAATGCAGGTCGAGACCGGGGAATTTAACGGCAAACGTGGAAACGTGCCGCAGAATTAGACAGCTGCAGAACAGCATGGGCTGTGTTTCGTCTACATCGACTTTGAGACCGTAAGCGCAAAGTCACGCACCACGACAGGCCAGGATGCTCCCATTTGATTGGTGACGTAAGGGGTAAGAGGGTTGGGATTTTTTACCGTTGCTCGCTTTTTATGACATTTGTGCACTGCTCCCGATGCGATCAGGCTCGGATAAATTATAAATACACGATGGAGTAATAGTCAGAAAGCGGATCACTGGAGGACTCGCGTGCTGTTTGGCAGTTTTGCAGCCAGTTTAGCGAGTCTCGGGACGCCAGTGACGCGTTAGCGTTCTAGGTATGATTAGAAAGGAAGACCGAAAACCTCCTGACTGCACTTAGCCTGCGTGAGCTTCATGAAATGTCCAACCCACGCAGGCTTAATTCAGTGAGGAGTTTTGAATGACTTATCGCGTGGAAGCATTTCCTTGCATGCAAAAAAGCACAGGAACGATGATTCCTCATGGCCATCGAACAATAGGATATGATCGGATATGGACCTCAGCGCCGTGGCCGTCGAGTAGCAAGGACACTGGCGCCGCTGAGTTGGGGAATCAAGGTGGTTGTGGGATATGTAAACATCGAACTGCTGATGTACAGCGCACTCTACGGCTTTGATTCTTAGTGACGCTCCATCACATTAATAGGATTACATGGTCCAAGTACTAGCACGATGCTGCTAGGGCATACAAGATCGGCAAGATTCCTCTGTAATGGCTGAACATATTCAATTTTTTATGTGGCTCCGTGTCTGGATCTTAAGCCCGGATTAGTAAGGCTGCTTAAATATCAAAGGCTTGGCAAACTGGATGTTAAGCTTAATTATATTACCACTATTACTAAACTATAACTTATCATTGCTAACGGGCAAACGTATGTTATATGGTAAGATAAAACTGATTGCAATTATGATATGCTTATTATGATGCCTTAATGTTCAGAGCTTGGGTCTGAACCGCCACTTTCCTCAGCTCCGCGCCAATGACCACCACGTGTTATTCACCCACGTCCACCATCGCGTTTTTGCAGCAGCTTTGGGACGCAAATGGACATTGATCTGCAAACCTGCGTACAATTTCTGTTCATTGCGCAGTTTAAATCATTTTGTACGTTTTCTTGCCTAGCATGTCGGCATTATTTCATAAAATTTGTTACCCATTACCGCACTCAAGTAATTTGAAGGACCATTTTGATGAACTTTGCCATTTGACTTTATTGTAATGCAGTATCATTCCACCTTTCCAACAATAGTCCATTTAGCTGTTTTGGTGTGATTCAGCTTCGATTTTAAAGTAAACACGGTGCCTGAGGACGGCTTCGCCGTGTAACCGAAATCCGTTCCCCCAAATGTGTTAGGGGCTTAGCCACTAAATATTGGAGCGGGGTTGAAACGAATTTGGGATTCTTCAAGTACTTCACCTTTTTTAGAAGAAGGAAAAATCCCCACCGCGAGCATTTTATGCGCAGTACGAAATGGGCACAGACAGCTCACGTTAGCAGAATTGGCCAACTTGGAAATCATGCAACCCAAACAACATCTTTAGCACCAAAATGATGAGCAGGCAATTAACATTATTCATTTTGTCGTTTCGACCATTGCTACTCACAGTGCTCGCATGAGCGCCTATCATCTCAAGAAATTGCCATCTGACAATATCATAATTTCGGCAACAAACCAGTAATGCGATTTTTAACACGCAGGCAGCACACGATTTATAACGCGTACTAAAAGGTCAACCTAAGCACCAAATGACGGACGTACGACAAACCAAGAATAGCACCCCAGTCCTGCACATTCGCGTCTCTAATATATCTATTGGTGCGCTGAGCCTTCGTACATAACATAATTTTGATCATTATTTTCAAATATTTGATAACTTACGGCACATCGCGCGCAGACCAGAAAGGCGCCTACACTCTTACCTTATCATTGCACTTCTTTCGACTTCTTACTTTATTATTGCACTCCTAATTTATTTCCAGTTGTGAAGCTTAATTGATATTTTCCACACAGATAACACAGAGAAAGACCCAACAATATCGGCTGAATTGAAGCATCTCCAGCAACCTTAAAAAAACCGACCAAGCCGCGGGGAACCCAACACCGAAGCCAAGCCAACGTTTTCGGTGCGGGTACATTAATGTCTAGTAGTGCATCTCATACACAAGTCTGGATAATGCGATTCGCACTTATTAGAACCAAACACATTGTGACGACAATGTCGCTTAAGCTACAACACTTGGGTTCAATTAATATGAATACTCCATTGCCGTGAGATCCTGCCATCATGTCGTGCGGAGGGACTGTCGTAGCACCCTCTTAAAGTAGTGCACCTCTTGTACAATTCCGAGCGAGGCCTGAAATCGCTCTGGACATCCAGAGACATATCTCTGCCGAGAAAATATGCCGACAGCAATCCTAGGGCAACGGACCAAGCCCCGGAAAAACTAAGACTGAAGCAAGGCCAGCGTTCTCGGTACGGTACATATACGTCTGTTAGCGTAGTGCATCTCACACACGAGTCCGGATAATGCGATTCACACTTACTAGAACTTAACACATCGTGCTGACAATGTCGGTGGAACTGCAAGACTTCGGTCCGATAAATAAGACCCATGCATTGCCGTGAGATGTTGCCATGATGTGCGGGCGGACTGCAAGTAGCACCCTCTTCAAGAAGTACACCTCTTGTATAATTCCAATTGGCGAGACCTAAAAACCGCTCTGATATCCAAAGACATCCTCTACCGAGATAATATGCAAATATCAATCATAAGGAAACGGACCAGGCCCCGGAAATCGAAGACCGAAGTAAATCTCATGTTTTCAGTACGCTACATATGCTTTAACTGGCGCAGTACACCTCATACACGGGTCCGGATAGTGCAATTCACGCTTGCTAGAAATAAATACGTTGTGCGGACAATGTCCGTTCGGTTACAACACTTCGGTTTAATGAATAAGACCCATGCATTGTGGTGAGATGTTGCCATCATGTGCGGACGGACTGCAGTAGCACCCTCTTAAAGTAGCGCACCTGTTGTATAATTCCGATTGGCGAAACCTAAAAACCGCTCTGATGTGCAGAGACATACCCCGCCGGGATAATATGCCGACACGAACCCCAAGAAAAGAAGCCAAGCCTCGGAACCGAGGACCGAAGCAAAGGCAACGCTTTCGGTACGGTACATGTACGTTTATTCGTGCGGGGCACCTGAAACTAGAGTCCTTATAATGCGATTCACACTAAGTAGAAATAAACACGTTGTG